ATAACCCTTTATGAGCATGCTAATCCTTGTGAATGAAAATAAAGAGTAGAAAGTACGACCCCACGCCGTAGCTAACCCTCCCACCTCTTAGCTCAAAGCCCCGCCGCTATTTCCTAAACACAGCCCCCCATACCTGTAATAACCCCTGCATTGTCTCTACTCCCAGGGTCTAAAATACCCTGGGCCATATTAGACTTTGTCAGGTGGAAGGGCTCCCGCGGACGAAAACATACCTTTAGGCTCTGCTAAAGGTCCCCATAGTGCATGGGGAGTAGTGGAAGCCTAGAGGTTTGAGGGGGTATCACCATGGCGACCTGGCGCACACGGCTCCCCAGGTGGGCGATCGCCGTTGGTTCGTCCTGAGGGAGCTGCATTTAGTATGGGTAGAGAGTGGACCCATTCACGAAAGGGGCAAACCTTAGTTTCCCCTGCGACCCCTTCTTCATGCTAATGAATTCCAGGCTCGCCCCATCCTCCAGACTGCATATCCTCGGAATGCAAACCCTGGATATCTCATTTTAATCCAAGTGTAGAGTTCGTCTTCCACAGGCTGCCTAATCTCCTTTGGGATCCGATTGTATGTACGATCCTGTCTGTCCAGACTATGCTTTTCGTAGAGGTTCCTCGCCTCTGCCTATACCTAGACCCCCCTATGTAGGGGTTAGTTAGCTATATGTAACTATACGATAGAAATATTTCTTAATAGCCTTTCCCTCATTCCGGCCCCGCTAGGCTCCTCTTCTTTACTTATTTTTATCTCGTCTCCGGGTCTCTTGCTAATTCCTATGGCTTCATTAATATTCCGAGGCTGCTCTGAATGTTCTGTAAGTATCCTCTTAATAACGTCATCCGATATTTTACTCATGGGCTATGGGTTTTGTTCTGTAAATGCAGAGGAGCCTCAGGTAACCCTGGAGAAATTATAAAATGTGAATCAGGTGGGTCTGGCCGATGGAAACATGCTCTGCGGTGCCACAGGTAGCAGGAGGTGCAACAGGTATTTATAAATACACATATCGATAAGCACCCTTAGCGGAAAGCACATCCTCTCGGTAATGGGTACCACGCCCCGTGTCATGTTCAGGTGTCCCAACTAGATTGAGATACATCTAGGCCATGTGGTCGTACTTCCGCTCGAGATTCGGTCACCGGTCCCTTATCGCCTCAGGGTCCAATCCCCAGTGCAACACGCCCAGGCATTTGTCTAGGATGCCCTACCCATAGGTTGTGTCCGTCCAAGGCCTTCCAGTCCTTGGCCCCCCAGGGAGGATAATTCAGGAAGTTCCTATTATTCGAACAATTGGGCCGTGTGCTACGAGACGTCTAGAAAGGGGGCAGCCCCTTTCCTGTTTCCGAGATAGTAGGAATGGGATCAGCAGAGCTTACTCAGGAGGAATCCCCAACAACCTACACATAAGCTTTACATCATGTACCCGAGTATAAGGTTCAGCAAATGAACGCACTATTCCCATCCCACTAGATCCCCATCCTATATCCTCTCCCCGCGCACAATGGCGATATGCATATCAAGCCCCACATTAGAAGAGACCCTCCGGGCAAGTGCCTGGCACCTTTACCGGAGAAACCAGGCTTTAAGAGCTAGATCACCAGACCCTCCCCCATCGCGTTCACCCTACCCAGGCACGTCATCACCTAGCCTTCAATGACGATGTACTAATACCTGTCTAGTAAGGTGGAGGGCTGGAAACTTACTGGGGCTAATCGGACACCTTCAGGTGGAACAAAGGTCGTTAATAAATTTAGGAACCACCTAAATGCACCCGGTAGTAGATGCGATGGGATTGAGGACTCATATCCACACAGACGGTATACATCAATGGCCGTCTTGTGGAATGTCCTAAGTGGACGGGGGTATTTATGGTAGGATTGGTGCATGGGGCAGGTGATATTGGGGATATATTGGATGGGGGCGGGTGATGGAATCCGTAATCATTATGTATTTGCATTCCTGTACTTCGATGGGACGTAGGGTATTAGGGATTCGGGTCCGACATTAATACAAGAGTGGTCATATAGTGTTTGGCACACATGAGTAGCCTATCCATGCCAACCTACCGAGTGATGAGAGATCTTTCAGCATAGAGACTACTCCCAATCCATTGTACCTCTCGCTAGAGGATCCACCACCACCCTGTTCGATATGGAAGGACAGCAGGAGTTGTGAGACTCGAGGAGGAAATGACCTTAAGACAATGATCGGTAACTATATGAGATTAGTTGAGACTTATGATGATTAACTACATCTATCTTCCCGTAGTGCAATATCCCGGTGTTTATATACACAGAAAATGAGAAATGGTTATGACTGAAAGACAGGGAAACACGAAGGTAACTATGACACATATCAATCAAGGACAAGTATCCACATCACTGTTGTAGATAAGGCACATAAACGAAAAACAGAAACGGAAAATTGATGACACCTTGACAGTGAGAGAAATGTTGTCATTATGAACATCAGAGTATTATAGTATGGAAAGGGATTGCGTCATCCTCAATCTTCAACACCCCTTCTCACTTTTGTACCAAATATCTTAGAACATAAGTGTTCATGTTGTGCGTGGTAGGCCTTTCGTACAAATGTCGGCTAAGTTTTCCGACGATGGTACATGTAGGAGCGAAAGCGATCCATCTTCCAAACGTTCACGAGTAAAATGGTATGCAATGTCAATGTGCTTTGATGCGTCGTTCAGCTTCGGGTTGTAGCAAGATCGATCGCAGCTCGGCTATCCGCAGACAATGCGGCAGCACACGCGAGAGGTGCATTACCCATGCAATCTTTTTGGTTGATATCACAACCTTCCACCTCTAGCAGACTTGCTACAATCTCAACGATCCCGAAGAAGGATGCACAGTGTAGGCCACCGAACCGAAAGTGTTGGAATACTGTCCCCTGCATACCCCGACTCTGATACATTTCATCTTTCCATTGTTTGATCCCTTATCTCCCTGCAGCTGAAAGTTTCTTTCTTGTTTCCTTCAGGTTTCCTTCTTGTTTCATTTGTTTCATTGAGAGAAAATTTTCTTCACCCTTGATAGAGGTGAAAACTTTTCACCCACACAGGCATGGCATAGGAAGAGGCAAGTCTTATGAAAGGGGGCTGGTGAGCTAGTTAGAAATTGTTATGCGAACATTGAACCTTTTATTCTGTCCAAGTGAATTGCCTATCTCAAACCGATTGATCTATCTACTACCACAATTTCATACCCGAATTCTCCTATTTCTCTACCTGTTTTCTTCAGAAAGGGTTTGTCGAAATCAACAGAGTAATAATATGGTTCATGTGCCTTCAATAGGATGGGGCAAATATGCTGTTATCAAAGTCGTCCAATAGCCCGAGCGCAAGTGATTTCGCCAAGTCGGAAAGGTCCATTTTGTGTGGACTGCCCAATATAGAGAACAGTATTCAAGAAAGGGTGTGTCTTGAAGATCGGGAGAGGAACTGGTTGAAAGGGTCTTGACTTGCTGGGAATTCAGATAGCTTAAGCAAACTTCTGCCATTGTCGAGTGAGCTGTAACAAAAAGCTGGGGGTGAGACCGGAGGTACTCTTGAAAGGTAAAGTAGATTAGCCGGACCGCTGAAGCCTCCTTGTCCACGGAAAGAAGCCCTTGACAGCAGGCTAACAATGTCCATATTGAAGGAGCATTGTCCGCATCGAGGTCCGGCGACCCACTTTGACCGCTAGGGCATGACGCAATTCATCGACCTTCAAGGGCGGATCTGAGTGAGAGATCCACATCAAAGCAGCAATGCCGAGCCTCAATCTCTCCCTATAAGCATCCCCCAACCCCAGCCCATCAGTCATTGCGCTGAGCCCCCGACGCCCACGACCGATTGTGGCTTCCTGCAGGATTGCGTCAACATTCAGCCCGACTAGTAGGAATATAGATATCTATCTGTCAGTAGATCATATGTGATGGCTTCCCCTGTGCCCTTGCTTCTACGTACATTTCTGATATATCTTCCGGGATTTTTCTTAGGATGTCCGCCTCCAGACTACTGTCCATTGCATCCGGGATTGTGTCCTCGTCCAGCCTGGTACGAAGATAGCTGATGATATCATCTCCGCTAGGAATGATGGATACACACCCCACTCTTCCTGAAACGCGGTTCCCGATTTCAGTTTGAATGAGTGGTATTCCAGTAACGAATATTCGGGTGCCTGGAGACTTTTGGAGAATTTGGTTTAGCGAATTAAGAGGCTTTGTCTGGTGTCCTGCTACACATTCATCAAGCGAGTCGATACATATGAATGTGCGCTTTTCAGAAGTGGTAGTCTGCAGCATCTTCACAACATCGGAAAGTTGCGGTCCCCGTCCACCAATGGCCTTTTTCTGGTCTTCATAGGCTTGCACAATTTCCTCCGGTACCACTTCCAGTCCGCTCACAACCTGTTTGAGCAGGGCCTCCAGCATACTGGTTGATGACTGCTCCTCTTGCGCTGCAAAGTCAAAGTAAAAACACGCAACGGCGACATTTTGTCCTCTAGCCTGATCGCACAAGCTGTCTATCACCAATGAGCTAACATCGCGGCTTGTCAGCACGCCCTTTTTTTTTTTCCATTCCTCGAGGTTTGTCCTTGTTACCTAATATATGTCTTGCCGACCCCCGGATCACAACGGCAAAACAAAACTGTGTTATCAGATTCACTTCCTCCACTACCGGCGTACCAGATTCTAAATCCCCCGGTTTTTAAGAGCCATTCCCCTGCATTTTCGACTCGGCGGTCTTGGATGTCCTGGTGTCGTAACTTGAGCTCTAGTGGGGCTCTAGTGGGGTAGCCATGCTACCCCACATCTGCCAAGGCACTTTTTCTGTATTACCAAACATCCGTACTTGGCATGAACTTAGGCTAATCTTCCAACGAAGCGCGGCGCTTATGACAACACCAGACATTTTGTTTGCTCCTGCACTCTCTATCCTATCTTCCACCCTCTCTACCCCATTACCACACCTTCTCATAATTTCCCGAGTATCATGACACCCGATGAGCTGTCAGGCCTCCTATTGCGGGACGAATATCTTGTTGTAGATATTCCCGCCGCAGCATTCCCACAATTGGAGCCATTTATTGGAACTAGAGCGTAAGAATCCAAACAATTATTGACAACTAGATATTGACAGACTCTCCTAGGTACACCTACCGGCCAGCAATCGGACGATTGGCAGTCAAGATCACCACTCAAATGCATGGGACGGTTGCAAGTTGGGCAAGTGAATTGATCGCAGAGGGTGTCGAAAAGGGAGCGTTTGGCAGAAGAGACATTGCTCTTATTGCTGAAGGGCGGCTCAGGGGATTCTCCGGTGAATATGAAGATATATAAGTTCTATTCTCTAGACTGAAGAGTTCTTATCTGAATATGAGTCTTACACTAGCACAGAACCAAAGTCCCCGATATTGCGCTATTCCCCGGAGAATGCTCCTGGCCTACGATTGTGTTTGAATTCGGCTATGCCGAACCGTATGACCAACTGAAGGATGATGTGAAGCTGCTCCTTGAGGGCAGTGAAGGACAAATTACAAAGGTGATAGTAATCAAACTCGAGCCGCTTCAAGAGGGGGAGACGGAAATCCAAAGAGGATTTGTCGAAGTATGGCATCTCAGGAATGGGGCTGCGACTAAGGAAGGTTGGAGAAAGGTGACTTTTATCACCCTGCAGGTCCCATTTACCTTCACTAATATGTGAAATGTAGAACCTATTTCCACCTCCGAGGAGCCATGAGGCCCAGGAAATAATGCTATCACTAGGAGATATACTTGGAGATGAGTTTGAGAACCTTGCAAATCAGGGATGGGGTGCAGCAGATACACTAGCCCTCCCATTTGATGCTTTACGCGAGTTTATTGACAAAGCAACCCGGCGTCATCTCATCCATGAAGGTCTTCTAGAGGAGGACTGATACGGCGATGGAATCCGTAATCATTATGTATTTGCATTCCTGTACTTCGATGGGACGTAGGGTATAAGGGATCCAGGTCTGACATTAATACATGAATGGTCATATAATATTTGGCACACATGAGTAGCCTATCCATGCTAACCTATCGAGTGATAAGAGATCTTTCAGCATAGAGACTACTCCCAATCCATTGTACCTATCGCTAGAGAACCCACCACCCAATCACAATGTCCGGCCTCCAACGTCACCCAATCTCCACCACTGACCTCGGCCTCATACACAACCCCATAATCTTCGCCCCAAGTCCCAACCCAACCCCAATCCCGTGCCGCAGGGCCAGCCACATAGATACATGTCCATACCGATACCCACCCCATGTCCCACCCATAACCCCCGGTCCAGGTCTCCATTCAGAATCTCCACGTGTTGCTGCGGTCTCCGGTGGTGTTGGGGTCTCCCGCGATGTTGAATTACCTGACCACCGCCACTCCTCAAACGTACCATCCAGGCATCGCCGCTTGTGCGAGACTAGCGTTGAGGCCCCCCGCGATGCTGGATTCCCCGGCTGCCGGCATCGAGCTATAACGTTCCCGAGCTCATCCTGGGCGCTCGCGGGATAACTGCGATACAGTACTGACCGGTCGCTGCTTGTGATTGGCCATCGGGCCTCCATTCCGGCGTCTCTACGGGGTTTAACTGGAGCCTTAGGGCATCGCAGCTTGTGCGAGACTGCCGTTGGGGTCCTCGGTGGTGTTGGGGTCCCCCGCGGTATTGGGGTCCCCGCGGTATTGGGCTTCCCGGCCGCTGCCACTCCTCAAACGCACCGTCCGGGCATCGCCGCTTGTGCGAGACTGGCGTTGGGGTCCCCCGTGATGCTGGGTTTCCCGGCTGCCGGCACCGAGCCATAACGTTCCCGAGCTCATCCTGGGCGCTCGCGGGATAACTGGGATACAGAACTGGCCGGGTAATGCTTGCAATTGGCCATCGGGTTCCCTGTGTCGGCACAGTACCAGAACAGTTTCCTAGTCCTAACAATGATTCACTATGACCTTGTAGCAATGCTCTGTCTAGGTATCCAGTCGGCATCCTGTTGATAGTTAGTATCAATCCCAAAACCAAAGACAACATACAAGGCAACAGACAGTGGTAAGCGGCGAACTTATACCGTTTCTGGTCATTTGTAAAGGTTCACAGAGTTGCCCGAACCCACCCCTACATAGCGAGGCATGAGGTGAACTGTTCAGGATTGCTATCAACCTACCGGAAAGGCCGTAACCTGCAAGGACCGACGACACATACACATATGGAGGACAATAGAACGAAATTGTCCGGCTCAAGCTCCGGGACTCCATCGTGGTCGAAGGACGGAGCACCGCGGGTGAAGGATAAGTCTGTAGAACCCCTCAGGTTGGTTCAAAGCCGTTCCGTCTACTCAGAGAACAGTTAGTATACATATAGTACTTGTGATGGTATGTACCTCACGTGACTACTGTCTTGAACGATCATGGCGGATCACCCAGAAGCCGGTGGATGTCAAATCTGTTCGGGCACTTGCCACACTATTTGAAATAGCAGGATCTAGGAATCATAGACCGGTATCAGGAGCATCCATTGGAATGGGGAATTCAGGTAGCGAATCTCTTAGGTTTCCTCTATTTCGTAATGCTGCACAAATTGTTCACACCTCCCATCTCTTATGCTTCTTGTACCCATACATGTCAAGAATAATTGAACAAAAGGGAGCATCAGGTCGCTGCTGCACATACCTGATACCAAAGTAGCGATTCGCTACAAACACCCGCGTGTTGATAGCATAACGTCGGGTATGGCAATTTGCCGGGTGTGGCAGAATGTCGGCTAAATGGTGCTTAAGAGTACTAGACTAGTTTTGTTGGCATCACCGCTTGCAGTTTGCACGACCCATCGCTGACTCTGCTACTACCGCTCGATATACCAGGGAAGGATATGACGCGGGAGAACGTGGCAAATCTCATGCGGGATGGGCTGCAGGCTTGAGCCAAACCTTTGATTTATTGGACTAAATTACTCACCCCAATGCCATGTTCTCTGACATCTTTCACAGCGCTATTTACCAGGTGGACAACTAGCATCCCAATTCTCGATTCATCTGCCCTTGTGTATCCTGCACCCCCCCCCACATCCCCGCCACTTACAAATATCAGGTGTCAGCCGCCTAATATGTGGTTCTGGTCATCATGAAAGAGAGATTGTTTCGGAGTCAACTCCCCCACGGACAACCTGTGCAGCAATCCGAACCCCACTGATGCGGGAACAGAGAAGCCAATTGGTCGTCTGCCATCGAGTAGGACCAAGAGCTAATAGGTCTTGTATCTGAATGAGGAGCTAATAGGTCCGCAAAGCTGAAATATCGAACGCTGCACGATGTTGCTGGCGAAGAAAGAGGCCTCGGTGGTATCGTGGAAGAAGGCAAGGAAAGAAAGGAGGCAAGGAAGTGAATAAGAGGAATTCGGAAGGTTTTGAATAGGAAACTTGTGAGAGGGCCCTAACCATGAAGTGGGTGGTGAGGAACAGGCTAGTCTGTACGGTGGATAAAGATGGACGCCTTGGAGAAGGCTTGGAAGGAAGGGTATCACATTGATGAGGACGATGATGTGTTGATGATTGAGGCTGCCCCTGCATTGCCATTAGTAACAGACAAACCGGATAATTTTTCACAGCAGCTGACCATGTATGCTGGAGATGAGTGATGGAAACCTGAATTGAGCCTACTAGGTTTGCAGATTCCGGAAAGCATGAACACAGGAGGACCAGAGGCTGCTCAGTCCTTTGCTAGCAGTAGATCTCATTCGCTCTCAACCTCAATCACTCGCAGTTACTCAGTGAGTCCAGTCACAGAAATATGATGTCATGCATCCCTGCGACCACCTCAATCCCTTACATGGCCATTAAGGTGTCCCTCTCCTGTGATTACAGTGACTCCTGCACAGCCACCAGTATCACAGACACCCCTTCCTCATGACACTCTGATGTGGTTAGTCCCAACACCATCCCCTACTCCTGTCTCCACCCCATGGCCGGTGTTGTGGCAAGGATCTTGTGGCCTTATGCAATCTGTCAAAAGAACCTTGGAAAGGGTCAATAACCCTAGCCGAGGGAACCAACGTCCACTGCAGCCTCTCAAGGCACTCCTGTCCCTGTCGCAGCTACCCCTAGCCAAGCCAGCCAGCCACTATTCAAGTGCCAATGGCAATAGTTTAACCTTTGTAGAATGCAGGCTTCTCTGGTTTCGGGCCACCACTGGTGAATCAAGGACCCCACTATACACGCTCTTGTTGTGGATATGGGGCAAGACACGAAGAATTCTGTTACTCCCCTCCATGCAAGGTGCAAGAAAGTCCTCTGGCGGCAGTCAGACAAGATAAGGAAAAAGAAAGAGAAAGGAGAAAACCTCAACATGGGCATTGCTTAAAAGGAGGTCATGAAGGACCTCCAGAATGCCCAGAAAAGTGCCCCGCTTTGGTGGGGGGGTTAAAGGTGTTGCAGGCTGTGCCAAACCCGATACTGTAGGGAAGTAAGTAGCTGGCAGACTCAATGCTACCACATGTACCGTCAGGGGGTAGTCCTCCAGATGACGGGAATTGTGGTAGTCAAGGCAAGCATTTTGATTGTTACGAAAGACCAAGGGAACCCTTTAGTGGCAACACTGGAGGCAGTAGAGGTGGATTCGTTACAGCAGGCAGAGTGGACCCAGGTCATTCCGACCCTCATGATAGCTCTGATGATGACGCTGGTTCCCTACCTGATGTCAGACCCTTTTAGGGACCATGTTGTAATGGCTGGGCCTGGGGTAAGGAGAAGAAGGAACAATCTAACTATTGGGCAGCTGCACTACCAGGGGGGTTGCAAAACCAATATCATTCTTCGTCAAATTCAAGACACAGGAAGCTGGAAAAGGTAATCAGCATTCCCACATTTAAAAGGGTAATTGCGGATCTGACTAGTTTTCTGACCTTAGTTGAAGTCAAGTTTGAATAGTTTTCCAATTACCATCCAATGGACATGGATAAGATCAACTTGGTCATACCTCTTCTCGAAGACCAAGCCCGCAACTGGTACCTTGGAATAGATACCCACATCAACTGTAAAGCTGCTAAACAAGTGGGGATACCATTCCGAAAGGATGGTCTGCTCAGGACACGGAAGGACTATTATAAATGTTTAGAGCAGAGTCATGGGAGTGACAATGTGAAGGGGGATAAGAATGGTGTCAAGAGGAATAACTTGGTGATAACACTCAACCAGAGCAGTGCATACTATGATAAAATTATCGATGAGAGGTACAAGATGAATTGCACAGACCAGCAACAGGTTAAAGATAAGGTTTGGGTGCCAGTGGGAATGAGTCCCAAACTTTGAGAATGTAACGACTCTACGTCATAGAAATATGGCAACCTAAGTTGACGCCCATACAGAAGACATAGAGGTCAGATGGTAGACTAGGTGGGCATGCGAGCACATGTCCAAGGGATATCCGATGGTCCCCAGATCTAAAAGAACAGAAGGTACTTAAGGAATAGGTGTACAGAAGTGGCGGAAGTAATGTGACTATGTCCGCTCCGGTCTAAGGATAGGTGCAACGACCCTACGATATAGAGCAATGGTAACCTACGTCTACGCCCATACATAAGACCAAGAGGTCAGAGATAGTAGACAAGGTGGATATGCAGGCGCATATTCGAGACATATCTGATGGTCCGGAAATCTCTAAGAACAGAAGGTACTTAAGGAATAGGTGTATCTAAGTAGTGGTAATAACGTGACAATGTCCGCTCTGGCCTATGGATAGGTCAGAAGGCCGGGGGAGTTTGTCCTACCTAAGGAAGTCACGTTACCCTACCATGGAGACTGGGTTTGTGTCACCATAGACATACTTACCCTATCTTTAGGACACTATTACCGTACCTTCCGTCGGAAATGTTCTCGGAGGAATTCCGGGAAATGTTAGGATTGTTTGTTAC